GGGGGGCAGAGTGACAGAATGTGGTAGGGAGGGGGATCTACTCCCTATCTGCCTGAGGCCAGTATCCATGAGGACTTCCCATAGTGGCACAGGAGTGGCTTTGGCGGAACTATGATGGCCTCATATGACCATGCTCCCACCAACAGGGGTGGCCATTGCTTTTAAGAGTGATAAAGCTGGGAAGGGGAGGCTGGGGATTTAGCTCAGCGGCATAAGCGCCTGCCTTGCAAGCACGTGGTCGTGAGTTCGATCCCTGGTACCAAGTTTTTAAAAAAACAGTGATAAAGCTGAGGCTGGTGGTGCTCACCTATAATCCAGAACTCTGAGAATTTATCTTCCCTATTTTCTCATTGTTGGGACAAAATATCTGACACTCACAAGTCAAAGGAGCAAGGATTTATTTCCGCTCACAATTCATAAAGGTTTCAGTTCATAGTCAGCTGACTGCAAGGCAGGGAGGGTGGCAGAGGAGAAACAGTGCATGGTGTGGCAGGCAGGAAGATGTCAGCAGCAAGCCTTCCTTTCCCTTTTGTTCCTTTCAGGCTACCAGCCTATTGGTTTGGCCATGGTGGGCCGTCCCATTATCCACAGAGAACTACACTAAAACAATCAGTGGACTGATTTAGCTATCACACACCCTTAATCTACATTCCCACACCCCAGATCCAGCTACCTCCGTAAAGCCCCGGCTATGAACACATGAGGCTTTAGGGAGACATCTAGATACAAGCCAGAACGGAAGCTGAGGCAGAGGATTGTAATGAGAGAGACTCTGTCTCAAAAAAAAAAAGTTAAAAGGGCCTGGGGATGCAGCTCAGTAGGAAGGCCTTGAGGTCAGTCCTCAGTACTGCAAACGAAAGGAAAGTATGAGACTCTCAGGTACCCATCAGGGAGGCCTGAGTGATACACAGTCTGGATGCACCTTGGTCTCCAGAAATGACTAGTATGTTAGTCAGTTTGCAATTGCTATGACAAAGTACCCGAGAAAAATATCTTAAAGGAGAGAGTTAATTTGGCTCATGTCTCAGAGGTTTTAGTCCATGGCTGGTTGGGCTCATTGTTTCATGGCCTGGGAAGAAGTAGAAATACTGGAGTGGAAGCAGGGGGTGGAGGAAATCACTCACCTCACAGTGGTCAGGAAGCAAAGGAGGAGAAAAGGCCTGAGGTCCCAAGATCACTTCCAGCCCCCCATCCCTGCCATACCCAACTTCCTTCCACTAGGCCCCTCCTAATGGCACCCTAAGGCTACTGATGAAGCCTTCAATGCGTGGCCTTTGGGAAAAACTTAAGACTCAAACCACAGCACTGAGTGAGCACAGCAGAGAGGCCGTGAGTGCAGCTGGGATCCTTGCATTCACATGGGCACAGCAGTCACCAAACCTTAGTTGTCTCGGCTCGTGTGGCCTTATTACTACTGTAAGGCTGGAGAGGTTAGGGGAAACCTGGCTGACAGGAGGTTAGTAGATCTTTTAACTAACTAAGATTCCTTTACAAAGCCCTACTGAATTAATAGTGATTTTGCTCTTCTGCCTCTTCCAATGTAAAGGCATTCTGAACGGACACTAACAGTTAGTTGTGTGAAGGATGATGCATGTTTTCAGTCTGCTCCATCTCTTTCCCCTCTGCTCTGCATCATGGAGGCTGCTGACCTACACGGGCTGGCACCGGGCTCCTTGGGCCCCCAGCTGGTAGGTGGTTTTGATAATGAAATGCTGTAGGCAAGCGAAGGTATTTATTTCTCTCCATCCTGCTATTCCTGTCTGTGTCTTTCCACTGCCTGGGGCTGCTGCAATAGAGTACCACAGACTGAGAGACTTAAGCGACAGAAATTTGTTTTCCCATAGTTCTGAAAGGCGGAAGTCCAAGATCAGAGTGTCGGCAGGGCTGATCTCTTCTGAGGCCTCTCAGTCTTTGCTTGTAGGCAAAATCCCCCTGCTTTTCCATGGTCTCTCCTCTGTGCATCACGTCCATGTGCAAATATTTTCTCCTCACGAAGACAACAGTCACTTACAGGCTCAAGGCCTACTCTAGGACCTAAGTGAACCTGCCTCTGCAGTACACTTATCTCCAAACATGGTCACATTCTAAGGGGTAGGACTTCGACACATGAACCTGAGGGACACATTTCAGCTCGTAACAGTTGGGAAGAGCTCTTTGCTAGTCCCGGGAATATATATGGTGTCATCTTGTTTTCTGAAACCCTGCCCATGTTTCTGTACATATTAATTTTCCAAACCACCCCATTTGTGTGTACCATGTCTCTTCTGATGGATACAGGTACTCTCCCTAAATATTATCTTAGGCATCAAAACTACAATCCTACCAAATGCCTTTCTATCCATCCACACCAGGGATTGAATCTAGGTCCTATTCAGGGAAAGAAAGTTTCTGTCTGACAGAGAGACAGAAGGGGTCCCAAGTGGATTGCCAAAGATTCTGTCCTTTCCAGGGACTTATAGAGCCAAACCACGAGGTGAGACAGATCTAAGGTGAGGAAAACATAGGAACTCACAAAACTATGGCTAACCAATAAGATTAATTAATTGTTCAGGTAAAATAGACCAAATCAGGGACAAATGAGGAAGCCAGTCACATAGCAAGTGGGCAAGCTTAAAGAGCAGTGACTCTTCCTATAGGGGGTTGGGAAGAGCTCCTTGCTTCCTCAAGATGGTCCATACCTATTTGGAATATCAGTCCCTAATGTTTATAGTTAGAGTGTGGTTGCATTTGTTTTGCCTTTTGTCTTGAGGTCTGGCCCATAGCAGAGGTATCTGTCTCCTCAAGGTCTTCTGCACCAGTTCCTTCGAGGGCCCAGCCCTGTCTGTCTGCCTATAATGTTTCTAACTAGCTCAGCTGCCTGTAACATTGCTGTCCATTTAGTTCCACATACTCAGGTTTGTTTACCATTAATCAAATGAAAGGAGATCACTTATTTTGACAAAAAGAAAAACAGGATTTATTCAAGGTCAAGGTCAGCTCTGAGATGGAAGGGCCTTGTCACTCAAATCACCATCTGCCCGTGTACAGGTGTATTAGAATCTTTTACAGCAATGCATAAAGGAATCCAATGAGACAAGAGACGTGGTCAGGCTCGTCTTATTTCTGCCCCACGGAAAGGAAACTGGAGTTTGACCTGCTGGTGCAGGAATCTGCATATATATTCTATCCATTCCCCTGGGCTGAGAAGTGTCTGTGTGTGAGTTGGGGGTCATAGTTTATGTCCTAGGGTTGAAGAAGTCTGGAAAAATCACTTGTTTCTAAGGAAAAGAAGCTCTAATTTTTAAAGTTACATTTTGCTATGCAGACTACATTAGTTCTTTTTAAAAACTTAATTCTCATTTTACTTGATGGCAGGGTTGCTAACAGAAGTAATGATTTTATCGCACACCCTTAAATCTCTTTTAAGACTCTTTTGCACTATTCTTTTCAGGCCTCCAGAAGAGAGAGTTACTCTTCCCTGCCAGGTCCCACAGTCACCTCTGCTTCCAAAGGACTTCCGGGACCTGGGCTTTTCCTAGGCTGAGCAGTTCCATCTGCCACAACCACCACCTCCTTTCCTTAGGGAAGCTCAGCTTCTCTCGTATTTTAAACCTATGAGTGGACCTCACACTACTTCAAAAGCTCCAAACTAAAATTCTCACTTGGTTCAAAATCCTCCCTACGGCTGAGACCTGAGGCACTCAGTGATGTCTTCATGCAGACAAGGCATGGTACAGGTCCACTGGACATGCGCACACTTCACCCTGCCCTGGTGGGTGTGTTCCCAGGGTCTGGGGTTCTGGTTCGTTCCAGAGGTGGCTTTTAGGCTCTACTTATCTAGAACAAAGAACTGGACAAGTACAAAAAGCAGAGAGACATTGTACGATTATGAAAAGAAGCATCTTGCAAAGTGAGTTTGGGCCAAGCAGGCAAAAAGTTACACTCTACCGCTTGAGCGCAGAGAACCAGGAAGGAGAACATGGTAGCGCCCAGCTCAATGGTGTTGTCCTTTTGTACCTCCCATTCCCCAGGGTGAAGTCTGGTCTGTTTCATCCTAGGAAGGAAGACAGCGCTGTCTGATAGGTTCTACTGCAGGGCTTTGGGAACTGTTTCGCGCAGGTGTCTTGGGATTTTGTAATTAAGAGATCAGGCCCACTTCCCCAGTTTGTCACGCCCTAATCCCCTGCCCTCAGGTGTAAGGGTGTGGGATAGATTGGAAATAAGGCTCCTTTTTCTCTTCATCTGCTCAGAGAAGTCCAGAGGGTTAAGGAGACGCCCGCGCCTACTGTCCCACTGCGGTAGGAAGGAACTGAATTATCCGCGAGCTGGCTTGGTTGCCCACACCTGCATTTCTGGTGCGTAGATGACAGAGGGGGATATAGTTCAATAGCATGCCTAGCAGACGTAAGGCCATAGATGCAATCCCCAGCGTCCCCGCCCCCCGCCTGCCCCTTAACAGGCTCAGGGGTGAACTGCGAGCCTTTACATCGGTAGAGGTCGCTCCCTAACTGCTCATCTCTCGTCGGAAATCATCTCATTGCTTATAACCGCTTTACTGGGGGGGGGGGTGCTTTTCACCACGGTGAAACACCGGTTTCCAGACATGCCCGGGCAGCCCGGGCAGCCCAGCTGCGCGCCAGCTGCCGGGCCAGGTTTAGGTTCTAACCACAGCCAGCAGCCCAGCGCATGCGCCTTGGGCCTCGCCGCTCGGCTGGGGGCGGAGCTTCCGGCGGCCTGTGGGCGCATGCGTCGAGCCTGTCACGACGCATCCCTGGGAGGCTGACGGCGGCGGCGGCAACCAACGCAAATTGATTTACGCGTGGCCAGCCAAGCTCCCTGGGGTGAGTGTTAGGCAGCCGGGCTGGCTGTGAGTGGGAGGGGTCTCGCCCGACTTGGGCTTCCCGCGCGGTTACAGGCCCGCGCCCCCAACCTCTGGCCGCCCTGAAGAAGCCCGGCGGCGGCGCTGGTCGCGTTACTTCCGGTGGGCGCACCTGCGTGCGGAAGTGACGTCACGACGCGCCCACCTGAGTTGCTAGCTGGCCGCGCTGGGTCCCGGGTCAATGGGGCTCGCTGGGAAAGTGGGGACTGGTGCTGTTTAGTCTGCGTTGCATTCCGGGGGGGTTTGGGAGACAGAGTCGGCTGGCGCACGTCGGGGGCCGGCCACGGACTCGAGATGACTGCGCGAGGACTACTTAGCCGTCCCCTCCCAGCGTCCTGACTTGGTTTCCTGTGGCATCCTCGTCCCCTCCGCTGCCCCGTTCCAAGCTGTCACTCTCTCTGGCATCTCCCGGTGTCGCCGCCTTGTTCCATCGACAGCTGTGCCTGTAGCGTAGCCCAGCTGGGCTGTTGTAACAGACACACATCGGGCCATGCCGTCGTAGCCCTGCTTAAAAATCCTTGTAAGTCGGGGCGTTGGCGTGAGTTGCAGGCTAGCGCTTTCCGGACGGTGTGGTCGCGGCCTGCTCGCCCTGCTCAGCCAGCTGCGCACCAGCACTCAGCTGCTCCGGCCACGAAGCCCGGCGTTGCAGGAGGATAGTGAAGGGACATTTAACTCCGATGACAAAGCTTGGCTGTGTACTGTATGACACTCTGAAGATTTACACGAGCAGAGGAGTTCTCGTCCGCTAATTCACCAGCTCTTCAGGCCTCACCTAGCTGCTCCGTTGCAGTGTTTCCTCGGTGGCCCCGTTAAAACCTATTCTTGCTGTGGCTGTAGCCGCGACTGTTACTTCATCGGGGAGGCCCCTCAGCCTTCCACCTACAGCTGTCACTTCAGCTAGGTTTCTTTGGAGTTTCCTCAGCTTTAACTGCTGCCCTGAGTCTCTTCACTTTGGGGCCCTTTTGTTCTGCCACTTCCATTCTGAAAAGCTCCAGTGGTACATTTTCCCTGGGTCTGCTTATTAGTGGAGGAGGAAGTTGTTCCGTATTAGGGCATGTTGGCAGGCATGGTTTTGGCAGGGCCAACCTCGAGGACCTTTCATGGTTGTTTCCCATCACTTCCTTTCCTCTTACTAACAGACATTTGTTCTAGACTCTCACTGTTCTCCATCCCCCATCCTGGTTTTGTCCCCTGACTCAGGAACTGCCCAGATTTCCTACTTAGTGGGACATTTTCTCTTTGGTACACTTCAGCTTCCCTCCGTACTTACATAGATTTAGGTTTATCAGGAATCTCCAGTTCTGTCACTGCCAGAGAAAGGTGTGTCATGCCTTCCGGTCTCTTCCACTCTGATTTCTTGCTGATGCCCAGTTTTCTGTGCAGGTCATCTCCCCATGCCCACTCCAGGCATGGCGTTCTCTGGTTCTTCCTCCCTCATCTTCCTCCCTCACCTCCCTGCAAACCTGTTGTTACTCCGTCACTCCAGCTGTCCCCCTTCCACAGCCAAGCTCCTGAAAGGCACAGGTCACTCCCAGTGGCTTCCCAGTTGTGTCATCTCCTGCTGACTTCACAACGCACTGCAGTCTGGTTTTTGTCTCTGTTGCTCCATTGAAATCTCTTTTACTGAGATAACAAGTGATCTGCTAGTGTCCAGACCCTGTGCACCCTTTCTGGTTTCCTTTTGTGAACTGCTTTGTCACTTTCCACTTTTGATCATTCCCTCTTTCTCTTTTAGCATTAGTAATTTCCCCCAGACTTCATTACTCTAACCTTGTCTTTATACTGTAATACTGGTAGTCTTGGCTGCATCGATATTTGTTAAAAATAAAACCTTGTATGCATGCAAATAAGAAAAACAACAGAAGTATTGAATTCCAGTTCTTAAAAGGCTCCGAATCAGAGTTCTGCCTTCCATTGGAAGGGGATACCAGGCTCAGCCTTCCTCCTGAAAATAATCAGAAGGGTTTTGCTCCTGCGGCATTCTAACCTTTGCTTGTTACCAGATCACCGACACAGGTAGAGCCTTGGAAACCCTGGAGCCGCTGCTCCTGGTGGGGCACCCACGCCCTACGCAGATCCCTCCCTTCAGTTCAAGTTTGTGTGGTGACAGAGCCCTGAGACTTGAGGGCTCCTTGCCAGGCCTCCTCTCTGCATTCCCATTTCCTCTTGTGTTTGTTTGTTTGTTTGGTTGGTTGGTTGGTTTTTGTTTCTTGAGACAGTGTCTCACTTTGTAGCTCAGGCTAGCTTTGAACTCACTATGTCATCCAGGCTAGCCTTGAACTTACTGCGATCCTCTTGCCTCAGCCTCCCTAGAGCTAGGATTACAGACGTGCGCCACCACACCCTGCTTCCCTCTTCCTTCAACGCTAAAATATTCATGACTGAATTCACTGGTGACTCGGTTACCCAGACCAAGCTTCATTTTAGAACTCCTCTCTGAAACCAGCTTCCTTTCTGCACATACTGAGCGCTGCTTTGTATTAGCCCGTGGGCCAAGGTTCCAGAGCAGAGTGTGTTTTTTGGCCCCAAACACTGTTCCACCTCCGAGTTGTTGCAGTGTTCACCAGCAACTCTCTGTGCTCCTTGCCCTGCTGTGTTCCTCAGTGCTTCTGCTCCACTAGAAAGTGAGCTGCTCAGGGGAAGGCGATGCTCAGTCCTCCATGTGACCTTTGTCCCTGGTGTGAGATTGCTGAGACCATTAAGTGGAATGTGTAGTGTGGAGGAAGGATCACGTGGTTGTATGATAGAAATAAAGTTTCGGCACTGAAGAGAACTTTAGTTTATTGCCAGTTACCTAAAGGGCAAGGCTGTTGTCTCTTGATTCTTCTGATGTGTCTGTTAGCTGTGACAGTTCTGGGGGATAGGATGTGTTCCTTTATCCCTCTTTCACTGTTTCCAGTTTGTGGGTACCTTTCGGATCCTTTGTGTTCTGTGCACTCAGATGCACAAACGTTAGGACAGATGCACTCATACTGTGTCCACAGCGTCTGTCATTAACGTGGCTTTTATTATCAGTGCCACAGAAAATGACTTAATGTCTGCTAGAGACTACTGACACATGCCACAGTAAGCACCTGTCTTCCTCCAGGCCACCTGTGTGTAAGCAGAGACAGTACAGGGGAGCCACAGCGGTACGCGTTCAGTAGAAACCACCTTGAGTTCGTCTCTTCTAAGGATGGGATATGCCGTGCGATCCTCTGTTGTGACACTGGGGCTGGCGGGGAGCTGCAGGTCCGCCCTGTGCATGACCACAGGGCTGCTGGGAAAGGCAGCACTCCACATTGTGGGGTGCTGCTGCCCTCTGGAGTAAGTACCTGCAGCTAGGAGTGCTGGGCAGAGGTCCCGTGCACTTAACATCTTGACGGCTGTTGATAAATTGCCCCCAGAAGGGCTAACTGGCCCCCCCCTCCACAGTATGTGATTCGTCCTTGTCTGTATTGGATGTTATGCTTGCCAGTGTGAGGTTCGAGAAGTTATGCTGTATCAAAATAGACATTTCTGAGACTCTTAATGGAGATTCTGGTTGGCTCCCAGCTTCTGTTCTCTGGATGGGTGTTCAGCCTAACAGTTTGTAGCGCCAGATTCACGCTGGAGTACTCCCCTTACATCCCCAGCCCTGTGTTAGAGGAGGCTGTGCTATTCCGGGTGATTCACCGTGGGGTGCAGCCCCGCACCCTCCAGCCCTTTTGACAGCCCCCGGATCTCAGGATTGGGTCGCTTTCATTTTGTTGCTTCTCCAATGGCTGCCCAAGTGTCCTTTGCTGATGTCACTGCATTTCTTGTTTCGGTTGCTGTTTTCTTATTTATTATTAGAAGCTGTGTAATTTGGGTCCCTTAGGAAATGACTAATTGGAAAATTGAACTTCTGTGAGCAGAAAGAGGTTATCGCCCGATGCTTGTGAAGTGGGCGCATTAATTATAAAACAGGAAACTAATGACCATGTAGCTGAGAGCCTTAGCCTGATTGTCCTCTTCCTTTCAGCCCTTTCAGTTTGTGAAGGATGCCGAGTGAGGGGAGCCCCCACTGCTGTCAGACCCAGGAGCAGGAGCCTGTGCGGAGTCCGCGGGTCGGAGCTGAGGAGGGTGCGCCTGTGGAGCAGGAGCAGGAGCATGGGGGTGCCGCCGAGGCCGGGGAGTGCCCGCCCTCCCCTTCCTCTGCCTGTGGGCCGTCCACCTCTGCCGAGGACTGCACCTCAGCAGCCGTGAGGAGAGGCCCGGCCCTGCTGCACATCGACAGACATCAGATCCCGGCAGTGGAGCCCAGTGCGCAGGCCCTGGAGCTGCAGGGCCTGGGCGTGGATGTGTATGACCAGGCCGTGCTGGAGCAGGGTGTGCTTCAGCAGGTGGACAGCGCCCTGCACGAGGCCAGCCGTGCCACCCAGCTCGCAGATGCTGAGAAGGAGTATCATGCGGTCCTGGATGACCTCACGTGAGTGCAGCGGCTTGTCTGTCCGAGTTTGTGTGTACGCATGTAAGGAGATTCGGGCAAGAGAGTCACAGTGTTCCAGAGACTTGGGAGGTGTAGAGAAGCTCCGACTCAGGAGACGGAGGACGCCAGGACAGCGCTTCCCTGGGGCAGCATCACCACAGTCCCAGGGCTCGGTCCAGTTCACCGAGGCACCTCTGGTGCTCCCGTAGCGTCCTGGAGAGAGGGCTGTGCCGGAAGGCCATGGACCCCTCGGCGGGCGGCCTCGAGAGCAGGCGCCCCGGCCCCGGGAGCTTTCCTAGTGAGACGCAGGGCGCACTCGCTGCCCCATGTCGTTTGCTGTGTCCTCCAGTTTCCACCCTGCTTGCTGTCCTCAAGCTGAGCATCCAGTCCCTTGGTCCCTGGGCAGCTTTCCGATTGGTATTTTGTAAATAACAGGAAAGAACTTTCTCTCTTTCCTTTTTCCTTTCCTGGGTATTATCCTGGGCAGGGTCAGGTGGGTGCGAGACAGCAGCCGAGGCCCGGGTGTGGCCAGGGTGCACGTGTGGACCTGGTGGCCCCCGTGTACAGGCGGCTGTCGGCGGTAGAGGACGTGCTTTCTGCTGACGGTTCCGGCTGAGTAACAGGTGCGCTGTGTGTCGCCACCTGACCCCGACTGTAGGGCAGCGTCCTCCTACTAAGAGCACATCTTTGCCATGGGGCTCGGGGTATTTCTACCTCCACAGCAGTGCAGAGGGGAGTACTGTGGGGGCTCAGGGAGGGTGACGCAGTGTGGCAGTGACATTTGGGGCCTGAAGTGGCAGCACTTGTTTATCCTGAAACCCACAGAAGGTACAAGGAGCACACGGTAGAAGTGTCCAGAAGACTGAATTTGTGTTTTGGAAATTGTAAACTGTAACTGTGTGAGGAGTGATTTATTTTAAGTTGATTATTTTTCCCTTCACACCACGAACTTTAATGCTGTCGTAGATGAATCTTCCTTCTGTGTGAGAAAAAAAATACTGTCACAAATACAGGATTTGTATAAGAAAATATTTAAGTGCTTTAGGGCTTTTTCAGACTTTGGAGGCTGCCCTAACAGGTTTTAAACCCCGTGTGTGTCTTCTTTCTTATGAAAGGACAGCTTATTGTACACTGTCCTATGCAGTGTTTGAATGAAGCAGACATAAATATGCTGGTGCAGCTGTGGGGAGGAGAGTGGGGAGCAGGCCTGTGACCCTGGAAGTCAAGAGGCTGAGGCCGTGGGATGCGGTGGATTCTCAGCAACAGGAGCAACCCAGACATTCCTTGGAGAAGGAAGGAGTCCGTTACAGATGGGAGCCAACTGATTTAACTAGCCAGAGAAGAAAAATGTCAGTAGTTATCTTAAACTTCTGACCTATTTGTGAGCAGTAAAATGCGTGTTCTTAATTTTTTTTGTCTTTTATTTCATAAGAAGTAAGAGACATGTTTTTAGCCTTTGTCTGTATAGGTTGTGCTATAAAAATGTTAACATCGTGGAAAACAGACAGTTTATCTTATTTTTCAGGTCATGTACGACATCTCTGAGGCAAATTGATAAAATTATTGAGCAACTCAGCCCTCAGGCTGCCACCAACAGAGACGTCAACAGGAAACTGGATTCTGTAAAGCGACAGAAGCATAATAAGGTGATTCTGAAGGGTGCGCCGAGTATCACGCTTTTGAAAAGCCACCAGTTGAGCCCACTTAATAATTCAGCATATGTACTTCTATACAGGGGAAAGCACGTATACTTAGCTACAGTAGAAGTTTTGAGTTGCTTGTGTATATATTTATTTGTCAGCTGTTTGCTGGTCACCGCCCGTGTTCCTGGGTAGTTTTAAAAGCCCACATGTGCAGTGCCCGCCCGCGTCCCTGCCTCCCACTCGAGGGACTCCCGTGTGGCTCGCGGCTGCTCTCCCCTGGGCCTCTTGCAGTCCTCCTGTCATCACCCCGCTCGGCTCCTGCTGGACCCGTGCTCAGTCCCGTGTCCGGCGGATCTCATTTCTCGGCTTACTCTTGTTGGCGAGGCCCGCCTCCACGCCGATCCTGGTTGGGTAACATCCCCCTCCCCTGGGAGGGTGGCCCGTCATCTCGACCTTGGCTCCCACACTGAGGCTGTACTCAGGGAGGGTAAAGCTGTTAAGGTGATGTTTTTTGAGGTTTGGAACTGTTTCTCGGAGCTGAGTACCCCTTCCTGGGCATACCTACAGTAGACAGGAGTGACAGTTCTGATCACTTTGGTTCTGATGGCGTCCCTGTGTCGCTGAGTTCCACTTCTGGGGTGGGGCCCGACTCCCTGTGCATGGCCCTCCTTTTGCTTCCAACACTGTTAGCATCTTCTCACCTGTTTCTCTTACTTTGGGGAAGGCCTGCAGAGCTCAGAGCCAGCAGCCCAGAGCACGTGGGAGTCCCACAAGCCAGAGGGGCAGTCAGCCGCTCGTGGGAGTATGTGAATTGAGTTGTGGGCAGGACCTTGACCTTTGGCTTCTGCGAGCTGGGGTTTCCAGAGTGCACAGGACCAGCCTTGGCCCCCTGAGGGCCTGCTCTCCGTGACGATGCTTTCCTCTTGTTCTTTAGCAACTCCTCGGTGTGGAGAGAGAGACCGCTGGAGGGTGGCATTTAGCTGGGAGAGGCTGGAGAAACCTCCTGCAGACCCTGGCGGGTCCTCTTTACACCCGGGGTTTCCCCCGCTCCACACACGTTTCTGGAGTTGCCACTTTGTGTGTATGAGGTGCCAGGGATCCCGTGCCTGCCGATGAGCTCTCCGCCACTAAAGGAGCAGAAACTGCCTTTTCCCAGTGCAGAGGAGCCGTGTACCCCCGGCCCGGTTACGTGGGAGGCAGAGTTCTGATGGTGCCAAGGGAGAGGAGCCAAGGCGTGCGGGTGGGGGCGTGCTGAGGCGTGCAGAGCGCCTTTGTCTTGGAAGGTTGTGTGACTGCCAGAGCGCTGGCAAGGTCAGGGAAAGTGTCGTGGGTTATCAGAAGGGAGTGACTCTTAGCGACATTTGTGTGTGTGCTTCCTATCTGTGTGGCCTGCTGGCTCCCACAGCCACTGGCTGGAGAGCCCAGAGACTGTGCACATCCAGTGTGTCCCGGGAACCGAGTGGGAGGGTCCCGCCTCTGCTCAGTACTGTGACACGGGTGTCCGGCCACCGGGAGTGCTATGCCCGCCGTGCGGAGGCGTTGCTAGAGCGACGTTCTTGATAGTGATAGCAACGCGTGAGGTTTCTGTTTCATTTTCACGTCGCTCGTGATTGCAGTTTTAGTAACAGCCAATCCTTGCCTTGCTGTGTTCTGTGTCTGCCATTCGCCCCTCAAGGAGCAGCAGCTGAAGAAGATCACAGCAAAGCAGAAGCGCCTCCAGGCCGTCCTCGGGGGAGCGGCCGTGAGAGTGGAGCTGGACCACGGCAGCCTAGAGCAGGAGGATGCAGGTGAGGAGGCCGGCCGGCAGGGGCTTCCCCAGGCTCTTGAGCTGGTGCTGGTTCCAGTGGGTCAGGGCAAGGAGTCTTGGCCTGAGCTTTGAGAAAGCGAAACAAAACAAAAAAATGCATTTCTTTGCTTCAGTGGCAAAATGGACTCGGTGTGTTATCCCCTGCAGAATCGAACCTCTTAAGTCTTAGGGAGTTTTTAGGGAAGAAGAGTAACTTTTTCACTGTTCACTGGAGGCTGATGACACACTGGGTGTGACATTTGACACTGGAAGTCTTCGGCATTCTTCTGGTGTTAGATTGATAAAGCCAGCTGACGTCCCGATTGGATTGCGTTTTGGGTGCTCAGCAGGGTCAGTCAGCTTCCACAGAGCTGCTCTTGCGTCTCCTGGTGGAGCTCCTTGGCAGCAGGCTCCAAAGCGTCCATTCTGTGGCTTAGGAGAAGTCCGGCAGGGTAAACCACCCGCCTGCCCGCCACAATTCTATTCACATTTCTACGTGGGGCAGTTGTGTTTGGGAAACACAACCGCTTTTAGGAAAATGGTAAGCTCTGGGAACTAAAAGTCTTTCTCAGGGGTCGTGTGTGAGTGTGCACGGGTTTGTATGTTTAGAAATTGTTGGTTTGTGGTCCTCTGGTGCTTGAAATACAGATCAAGGCTTCTTAGTGTTTAAGGTTTCTAAGCAAATATTTTCTTCCAGCTCCACAGAGTTGATCACTCACACAAGAGAATTTTGAGGAAGAACATAACAACAAGTCATAGAAAAAAAAATACTGAATATGCTTTTAAAGTTCAGACTCCCGAGATTTATTAGTCCTTTGGTCGGGCTTTCTGCCTTGGGGTGCCCTCTCCGTGGAAAGGGCATTTGCGCCTGTCTAGCTGTCTGAGGCCTGCGGTCCCCCACATCCTGGGGCTGCTGTGGTCGCCCTCTGACCAGGGTTGACCCTGCCTCCTCACAGCCAGGAGCCTGTGTCTTTCCTGGTTCCTCGATACACTCTGACCATCATTACTTTGTACTACTTTTCTGGCATTACCTTAAAATGCCAGAGAAAAATATAAATTTCAGATTTGTGTTTTTTTAAGGCAAAAGTCATGAAAAAGAAGTGTAGGTTGAGGGTAGAGATCATGAATAAGCTAATTTTAAAATTTGCGCAAAGCTGCATTGGGTCAAGAGTAGCCACTGTGCCTTGAGCTTACTGTGTATCCCAGGCCGGCCTCCAAGTGCTGGGGCAGGTGATCTTGAAGAGGAACAGATGTCAAGATTTGTCATAGGCTGTTGTCACTACAACAGTGTTTTTAGCGAAGAACACACGGGCTGACCAGTGGGTCAAACTGCTATACATGCCTACCTGACCTGTGACAAAGGTGACCAGGAGTGCCGTGGAAAAACCCAGTTCCGCTGGATTAATCCACATGAGAACATAGTGGAACCCACTGCGCTGTGCACAGGAGTACGAGTAGATCTGAATGTTGATGATAAAGTGTTAGACTATAACACTGAGAAAACATGTTTATGACTTTGGGGTGGGCAGAGACTTACACAGAACAGGGAAATCTCTGAAGGAAAAAAGCGTAAGTGTGCTTGTAAAACCTCAGCCTCCTGTTTGCCTCAAGACGGCGCCTGGAGAGTGAAAGGGTAGCTGCAGAGTGGGGTGAGTCAAGGGCTGGGTCTAACAGGTTCAAGGGCTGGAAGACTTTGTATAAGACAGACAAATAAAATGGGTCAAAGGCTTGAGCAGTTCTCTACACAAGAGATGAACAGATCTTGGAAGGGCACCTTGTTCCATTAGTCACGGGAAATGTGAACCACAGTCACACGCGGCCCCACTGCCCCTTCGGGTGCCCGGGCAGAATGCAAGGGTCTGCACCCTTGGGACTTGGACTCAGTGGGTGGCACTGAGAACAGCACCACTTTAAGGGTCTCTGGTGGTGCGTGTAACGCTTAACAAAGCCAGAGGGTTACCAGGTTTCTCACCAGGGCTGTGCGTCAGAGGGTTCCTCGCAGCACTGTTCATAGTAGCCAAGCCTGGACGCCACCCAGACGTCCATTAACGCGGGAACGGAGAAATCACACTGTGGCCACGTAGAATGCGGATGCAGTTGCCAGCCACAAATCAGCGTGTACTGCTCAGCCCGGTGCTGAACGGGAGCAGGTAGAGATGGGAGCATGCACGGCCCTGGCCCAGCAGCGCCAGCACCAGCGCCACTCCTCCCGCCCTGTCTGGGTTTTCTGGTGATCCCGGTTACTTAGCTGGATGCTGATCTATTGCTGATTTTTGAGTATTTATTGAGCTTACAATTTGTGCATTCTGTGTTCTATGTTTTAGTGCAAATTTAATGAAAAACTGACAGTGGTGCAAGACCTGGAGATTTTATTTTATTTTATTTTATTTTTTTGAGTGTCTCTCTATGCAGTTGAGGCTGGCCTTGAGCTCACTTTGCAGCCCAGGCTGGTTTTGAATCTGCAGTGATCCTTGTGCCTCAGCCTCCTGAGTGCTGGGATTACAGGTGTGAGCCACCACACCAAATTTAAGACCCAATTTTAGAACACAGATTATGACCTGTGCAGCCGGAGGCAGTTTCACCTAATGGCAGAGGACTGATTTCCGGGCGCTTTGTACTGGCTGGGGGATACTTCACCTCCCCGAGTCGCTTCCCCTGTCCAACCCGGTGCTGTCCGTCGCCCTCGGCGCTGAGGGCAGACTTCTCTGTCGCCTGGGTGGGAGCCGTCAGTCACATAGCTGTTGAGCAGTGCAGTACAGCTGTGCAGTTGTGGCCCTCCGACTTCAGCTCACCTAAGTTGAAGTAGCCACAGGCGACTGTGACCACTGTGCTGTGACTGCGGGGCTGACGCTGTGCTTTTGGCTCAGGTAGGGACCTTAGCCGGCTGCTTGGTGTCCCGCCCTGAGGTCCCCTGAACCTTCGTGTTTCAGGACTGCATGGGAACTTGGGAGGCTGCTGCTCTGGGCTCCTCCTCGGGTGATACGGAAGCAGCTGAATGTGACCGGAACTGATGCAGGTGGTGGGCCCACCTTGGATGCACAGAGAGCATGTATCTAATGTGGTAGTTCCATGAGCTCTTCCGGATCCCTTATGGTTGCCATGCTGCCCTCCTGTGTGATGTGCACCGGCCTTCCTGCCCTGAGGGTGACCTAGCGCAGTGCCCGCTGGTCGGCAGACCCCGTCTCTCCCTCCCCGCGCCCTCTGCCCAGCCAAGGGTGGCTGCCACACGACTCTCAGTTTCTGTGAGGGTCCACACCTGAGAGATTGGGCTGGCTCATCCTTCTCTGTGGGCTTACTTCACGGGACATGGTGATCTCCACTTTCATATGCGTTGTCCCAGAAGAGAGCCCGTTGTTCTTGGTTATGGCTAAGTGTTCTGTGGTGATGTAAAAGTTCCACATTTATACAGCGTGATCTTTTGGAGAAAAGTGCCTGAAAAGTCACTTTTTTGAGCAGCAGTATACTAAGTATGGAATGGTAACTACTGCCATGCATTTACTCCAAGCTTTAGTGCACTAAATTTACGAGTTCTTGGTAGTTGCCTCCTGTTGATTGACTAAGCGAGCATCTCCAATGTACTCCGGAGGTTTGACGCTGGTCCGCGTTTCCGTTCTGTTTCAGAGCCAGGCCCGTCCTGCCTTGGCAGCATGCTCATGCCCGCCCAGGAGACCGCATGGGAGGAGCTCATCCGCACCGGCCAGATGACGCCGTTCGGTACCCAGGTCCCTCAGAAAACAGAGAAGAAGCCTAGGAAGCTCATGCTCAACGAGGCGTCAGGCTTCGAGAAGTACCTGGCGGACCAAGCCAAGCTGTCTTTTGAGAGGAGGAAGCAAGCTGCCAGTAGGAGAGCATCCAGGAAAGCCCCGGCCTCGGCCCAGTCCGAGCCAGGCGCGCCAGCCAGGGAAAGCGAGCCGAAGCCCAGGAGCAAGGCTCTGTCGCAGGCAGACCGGCGCCTGCAGAAGCACCTCAGGAAGCTCCAGAGGAGGGCGCTGCAGCTGCAGTTCCAGGGCAGGCCGGGGCAGCCCAGGGGGAAGAGGCCCCCGGAGGGAGACTCCAAGGGAGGCTCGGAGGGTGAGGAGCCCCGGGCCTGCCCCCCGGAGCCCCTGGAGCTCGATCGGGCGGCAGAGGGAGCCGGGGAGGAGGTCGGGGCCAGCCCGTCCGCAGAAGGCGCGGACTGTGAGCCGAGGCCTGTGCCCAGGGCCCAGAAGCGCCGGCGGAAAGCCCTGGTGCAGGGCAGCGATGATGACTTTTCGCCGAGTTCCGGGGAAGAGGCCGAGGCCGAGGCCGCAGGAAAGGGAGGAGGACCCAGTCGCAAGGCGGTGCGCTGCCGGGACGATGGCGATGGAGAGCATTACAAGCAGCGGCTGAGGTCAGTCTGCAGGGCTGGGCGGCTGGGCGCTGTGTGGACATCACACAGGGCGTTGGTGCCACGCTGGGACTTCCGCAGCCATGGCCTGCAGTAGCCGGCGATCAGGTCCTCCCTGTGGCCTTCAGACCAGAGCATGTCTTGGAGGAGGAGGAGGTGGAGGGGGGAATGTGAGAGGCACAGAGTGGGAGCCAGGCGGCCCGGCCCTGCAGCGAGAGTCAGGCAGGCAGAGGTTCTGTCGCGCACACCTGCCGGAGGGGTGATTTTTGTGCTTTTGTTTTGCATTTGCAGCAGGAAAGTGACTGCAGAGGACTCAAGCTTGCTTGCTCAAAGGCCCCCTTCCTCTCCTGAGAAAATCACCCTTTGCAGAATGGTAGCCACCACCTTCCAACTGTACTTGGTGTGCACAGCACGTTTTCCGGTTCACAGTTTGTGCCGGAGACTGACCTTGGTGTTGGCCCCTGTGACTGGCAGCTTGTGATTAAGGGAGGTCACAGGGCGGAGAAGGTGTGTCCTGTGATGTCACCACCGCCATGGCCAGATGTTCTGCAAGCCAGGAAGGCAGGCCACACACAGCAGCCTCTGCAGCGCCCCCAGCCTGTCGAGTGCGGTAGCTGCAGGAGCCCCAGGCGGCTGGGGAAAGGGGCACAGCCGGCTTTACACATTTAACAGGAAGTGGCTTTCTCCTGTCCTCAGCGGTGCTCTGTTTCTTGTGGGGAGGAGACCTTGTGTGCTGCGCTGCTCAGAGCTTCCCACTGGCCTTACGTGAGTAGAGGCCACTGCTGTGTTTCCTTTGTGCTTGACAAATGCTCAGGACCCAGGTGCAGATCCAGCGTCTCAGAAGGATGCGCCAGGGTTGTTTAAAAATAGTGCAGGACACGTGGCTTAAATCCAGCTCTTACACAGTAGGTCTAGTGCAGTGGCTTCTAAGTGTCATTTCCTCTGTGACTTTAGTCAGTGTGCACACTTAATGTCTGTCTGTAAGATTGGTTCTCTTGAACAGTGAGTAGTGTTGGTCCTTTTCTTAACTACCATGGAAGATTAATAAAAGTTTTAATCTTCACATATTGATTATAAAAGGAGCAATATAATATTCTCATTAAACTGGGTCAATATTAAATATATTTAAAACATAGCAGTATTTTGATCAAGAGCAATTTATTTTGATTGAATTTTAAATATGGATATAGTTTAATTTCATGGCAGTAAGTTTGTCTTAATAATGTTTAAAATTGTAAAACAATTTATTATTTCCAAAGCCATATCATAAACCCATTTTTTTTACTAAAGTTACAGTAAAATCTCAAATGAATTTCAGAAATATCAATAACTCTAATTGCTACCAAAATACGATAGCACTTAAAATTTTATAGCTAGTTATTAAGGCTGTTAAGCTGCAGACATCCGCCTCGAAATGTTTGTATTACATCTCCTCTGGTGCTCTTTGGGTTGGGAATGTTAGGAGAAAATGAAGCATTCAGGACCTAGGAGCACGGTCAGAGCACTCGAGGACTCGCGGCCATTCTCCAAGCTGTCACTTGTTGCTGGTCTCTGCAGACTGAAGTATAATGGCATTTCCTCGGGTGAAGGAAAGGCACTTGGGGTGGCTCAGCTTAGCAGCTGTTTGGTGCCGATGGTCGCGGTAGAGCCGTAGCGTTTGTGATGCCGAAGGTGGCTCTGGGAGGTGAGAGTAGGTGACCGCCACGCCGCGCATCCCCGTCTTCCGGCCTCTCATCACGCTGGGTTGTACTGACCCGGCACCTGTGGGATCTGGTGCTGTGGACAGGAAGTTCCCTGGTGGCCTTTTCTGCAGCGGGGCGGTGGCAGTCATGATCTCCTTTAGTTCGATTTGACCCACAGCCTCAGGTCAGTCTGGGCTGCTGGGACTGTGTTTTAAATTCCTGTGTACTTCCTCCTGCCATGGACACAGCAGCCTGGGAGGCCTGGCCCAGACTGGAAGCCAGGACAGCCAGAGCCACCCTAAACACTGAGCTGCCCCCAGCAGGGCGGGTAAGGACAGTGGGCCCTGCCCCCGTGTCTAGGTCTTGTTACTTCCGGTTGTTGCCGGTCTGCCCCCCACGTCATGCACGCGCATGCGCACTGCTGGGCTGGCTGTGCGGCTTCCCTGCGGGGCTTAACAGTCTGTTAGTGGGCCTGGGCCCCGGGGGGACCTAACCATGCAGGGAACAGTAGATTCAGACTGAGGGGTCGGGAGAGGCTGGAGGGACTCCTTCTGGTGAGGGCCTTGACTGCTGAGTGACTCAGGTAGGTGTGTTGGTGTGCGCCTTGTGCAGGTTCAAAACTTTCCACATTTGCCCCCAGACTTCATCCTTGACAGGAAAGGGAGATGCAGCATTCCCCCACGTGGTGTGGTGGCTGTGACCTGCAGAGGGGCTGTCCACTTGGGGATGGAGAGTCGTGCGTGCCTCACCTGGCCAGTTGCGCCTGTTTGTGGGGAGCAGTCACCTGGCCACTGTTTGTGTTTCCTCGGGGTCAGTGCCACCTCCCGTGATGATGTGTGTGTCCAGGGTGCAGGGATCAGGGAGAGGCTCGGCCACATTCATACCAGCTGATTGCCGGCCTCGACTTAGTGGAACAGGAATCTCATCGACCCGGTCAGCACTGCTCGGGTGAGTCTCCTTGTTGGCGGGAGGAGGGCTGGCATTGATCATTTAGCCCCTAACTGGAAGCTCCCGCTTCTGTTTCCACCTGCCAGCTGTGGAGGTTGCTCAGGTGCCTGCCCGGGCTTCTTAGCAAGGAGCATGAGCATGGATGGAAGCAGAGCTGATTCCGCAGGATCAAAGGAGCCTGCAGAGGAGCTGTTGGCCTGGGAAGAGACATGGCCTGCAGGACAGAACTTTGAGAAAGTGTGCCTGGCTCGTTCTCTTGCACGGTCGCTTTGGGAACTATGAGATGTTTGTGAGTTCGATCGTTTGTTTGTTTGTCTTGGTGATTGTGGTATTCCACCCAGGGCTCTGCACATGCAGGCCAAGCTACACCCCAGCTCACCATAAATCCATTTCATATACTTCTCTCCTTTCGGTTTTTGTATGAGTTTCTCTGAAACCCTTCGTGTGCTCTGTGCAGCGCGGCAGGAGAGGGCCTGCTGGGAGCCTCAGGGTCAGCTCGTTCAGCCGGTACTGCACTGGACTCCAGGCACTGCCTGGGTTCTCTGCTTCTCACACTCCAGTGTCCTGCACACGGAAGCCTGGGCTCCACTGTGGGCCTGGAGGCGGGGTCTCGGCTGTCACAGACTGTTGTTCAGCAAGAGCTGTGGGGGTTGGAGATGAGCTGCTCTTTACACAGCCTGCAGCCAGCCGAGGGGCTGCTGGGGTGAACAGCCCACCCCCACCCTCACCCTGGTCAGTAGGCTGTAGTGGAGTTCCGAGGCCGGCTCCCCAAGGGACCTGGTAAAAGGTGACACTGCTGACGTGCGGCCTGGAAGCCCTCAAGGTGGACCTGCTGGAAGTGGACCTGGTGGACCGCCTTTCAGCATGCAGCCCTGGTGTTTAATTAAGGCTGTAGCAGGATTACCTCCTGAGCCTTCGCGTGCATGTCGTTTGGACCTGACTCTGGTCTTTGGTCCTGTGCACACACATCTTCACATTGCAGTGCCAGCTCTGTACGGAGCCCTTCAGAGTGAGTCGGTGAAGAGGTGGCGCTGAGCTTTGAAGCTCACAGCCCTGCAAGTGTTTCTTTCCCCGAGAGATTGGGGAGGCGCAGTATCTAGGTGCGACCACAAGGTGGTGCTGAGAACCACCACTTAGCCGCTGCCTCTCCAGGGCCCTGAAACCAAGCCAGGAGCCCAAGCCCGAGTCTGTCGGAGCTGGAGAGAGGGGAGATGACCAGGGAATCCGGGCAACCTGACAAGAGCAGTGTGAGAGGGGACAGAAGTGGCCTCAAGGCTTGGTGCAAACAGTCTGTGTGATGAGTGTTGCCTGGAATGCATTTTTGTGTTTAAAGTGTTTTCTTGTGCCCCACTTTCAACTTCATTTTACTGGGTTAAGTTTGGATTGAAAAGGCCCCCCGAGGACTCCACTGCTGTGGAAATCCTGTGGAATGCGCTTTGATAGGCCGCACGGTTTAGGGCTCAGTAGGATTCCTCACCATTCTGCCTGCAGCACCGGCTCTGGCCAGGTGTGAGCGGGGTCCTGGTTTGGAGCTTTGGTTTTACACACAGGATTCTGAGGGCAGGGAGGCCGTCAGCACTGCCACAGTGGGCAGGGGTCTGGCCAAGTAGCATAAATGCTGGAAAGAGACCTGTGCCTTTGGAAGACTGCCAGGGTGGGAGGGCACCGGCGTGTGCAGGGGCTCACAGCAGTGTGACACTTCACCTCCCTGGGTTGTGGGCTTAGACTCACAGCCTGTGTGATCTGCTGAGGCCCTGGAAGGCGGGAGTGGAGAGGGCTCCAGGGGGTCACCCAGCAGCTCGGTCTGCGGCCCTGCACTCAGGAGGCTTTGCTCTGGGGACCCCGTGGGCACCCATTTCTGACCCGAGCCATGGTGGAGCCGCGTGCCCACCCTGTCCATCTCCACCGCTCCTGGCCACGTGGAGCTTTTTCCTCTTCCTGCTGCCACGGGCCTGCCTGCTCAGGTGGTTCCTGTCACATTCAGCAATTTTAGTTATACTTAAGCAAAACTCAATTGGATTTGCTTGTATCTTTTTAAGCAAAACTCAATTGGATTTGCTTGTATCTTTTTTTTAAAGCTCAGATAACTTGTCTGAAAATCAAATAACTTCTGAAAATCAGAATGTAGTCAAAGTTTCATCAAGCTTTTATCCAGAAATCTGGGACAATGATTTGCAGGTTGTTGTTGTCATCTTTATAGGAGTTCATTCCTTTCTTAAGAAATAAGCCGAGGTTCTTTCTGATTTTCTTAGTGTTTTTTTTTTCTAGGAATCTGTATTTTAAAGAGAAAAGAGAAGGTTAGTCTTACAGGTTGTTTTCCTAGAGGCACTTTGGCTTCTTTTAAATGACAAGGCTGAGACACAAATGAAGACT